TACTTTTCAATTTAATAAGTAAATATTATATAATATTATTAACAGATTAATTACTAAATAAGTTTTTTTTTACTTTTTTTTTTATAAATCATTATTTTACTTTTTTCAAGCTAGTTTTTCTAAAATTAAATAATTTGCAGCTGAACCAGGAAGCATATACAATTTTATGCTTAGAAATTTAATTATAAAAAATGATTTATAAAAAGAAAATAGAAGAAATTTGTTTAATTCGCATGACGTTTCAACACTGGCATTATTAAATCGTTTTGACGCGATTAAGGTCAACGGCAACCACGATGTAAACAAACCATTTAATAGGAGCTGCTGTTTCGTGCAGTTTGTGTTGAATGAAAGTGAGCAAAACTGGTCCGCCAACAGCTGGTTGCTTGTGGGCGCAAAAGATTGCGAAAAAAATTAATTTTTATTTTATTTTTACGCGTGAAAAATAGTGTATTTATCAGTAAATTTATGGCTTTTAAAAACGTGGTGGCGATATAAATTGAAAAAAATGCACATACATATGTATATACATATATTCATATACCGAACAATTGGGTTATTGTTAAGAAAAATAAGTTTACATTTTTGTAAAAAAAAAAACTTAAAAAATTATACAATTTTTAATTTTCAGAAATCCGCATGGAAATAATTTTGATATTTAAGACTATAAAATACATAAGTTTTTGTCTGACGGCTCTAATTTTCAGATTATTTGTGAACAAATATTTACCAAAAAAAATATTTTCAAAAACTCTCCATTTTTCAAAAACACTAATTATCACACTAAAAAGCATTCTTAAAAACCGTTGTTAATGGTAAAAAGCATTCTTAAAACTTCAAAAATTATTTAATTTTAAAATTTTTTATTTTCTTGCAAATAAATTTGACTATTTAATGCTTATAAAAGACATAATTTATTGTCTGACTACTCAAGTTTTCAGTTCATTGAATTTTTTCAACAAATCTTCCAGAAACAAAAATATTTTCAAAACTCTCCAATTTTCAGGAACATTAATTATCGAACTAAAAAGCATTATACAAGGTTTAATTCTATTCAATTTATATTTATGTGTTTTTAAAAAAGTTTGAGGCTCTACAAATGTCCTTTTAATGTTTTGAAACTTCGTTTCATATCTTTTTTTTAATTTTTTTTAGCCGCAAAATGGGTAAAAATTGTATTTTCGGCTTTTATTTTAAAAATAGGACGCTGGTAAAGTGTTTTTTAAGCTTTTATAAATTTATAAATTTTCCAAAGTCTACATACTCTCCGCCAACTGAAAATTATGTTATTACTTAATAAGCATGATTGCTAACGTTTTAATATACTATTTTATAAGAAAATAAATCTTTTTATCAGGGGAAAAATTTTAAAAATTGAATTCTTCTAGATAGTAAAAATTTTAATTTTTTGCATGAAATTATAAGAAATAGCTAGTTATGCTTCATCTGTAGTATTTTAGTCAAACGTCAAGCAATTTTAGATTATTTTCGATCAGTATTTTGAAAGTCTACACGCTATGTTTATGAGTATTTGCATATAGGAGCAGTAGATATAATCGCACATCATATTATTTAATATTTTAAAAAGTCTACGCCTTATTCTTGTCAATTTAAAAAATTTCGACCAGTTTTTTGAAAGTTTACGCATACTATTTATACGTATTTGCATATAGGAACAGTAGAAATAATCCCACATCATTTTAAGCGACATTTTCAACATTTTAAAAAGTCTACACTCTATTCATGTAAATTTCAAAAACTCTCCAAAAAGTTTTTTCTTGTATTTATAACGTAATTACGTTCAAAATAAAACTAAACATTCTTATTCTTAAAATTTTCATTAAAATTTCCGCCATTTTTCCTTTTTGAACTTTTCAAATACACTCCAATTACTTGAAATTAAATCATTTATTGTTTACTTCTATTTATAAGTGTCATTACGTCAACTAATTGTTAAGTAATTTCTAACAGCAGCACTTCTTTGCCGCAATAGCATATCATTTGAACGCCTAAATGCAAATATTAGCAAACACCACGGGGCGTATGATTAACGTAATTGCCGCACATTTGCGGTTTGTGCGCATATGTGTTAGTCGCAATTGCTACAATTACAGAAAATCAGTTGACACTTGCGAAAAATGCACACAGCACTGATTGCGTCCATTAAATATGGGCAATGTGAATGCCTTGCGCACATAAAGCGCTAGAGACGGCGCATAAATGTCGTCGAAATAGCAAAGTTTTTCAAATTAACTAACAAACTACCTTGTAATGCGAAGTTTAGAGTTAATTTCAAAAAAAAAAAAAACATGGAAATAATAGAAGATTAGTTAATCTTTTGAAGGAAGTAGAAGTAAACAAATCAGCGGCAGCGCTGTACCAAATCACAATTATTTATAATCGTCAATGAAATTGCTATAATTTTTATGGAGAAATGTAAACAATTATGTAAGTGTTGTGTGAGAAACAAAATGTGCTGACTATAAAGTAGCGCTCAAATGCCAAACAAATAAAAAAATAAAGAGAAAGCAAATACAAAAACAAAATCATCAAAGCTGTCACAACATCAGTTAAACGCACGTGCGTTCAACCACCCTTGTTTATAGAGATATATGTATACATATGTATATGTATGCGAGTACGTTTTTTAACTTGCATGGGCGTCGCTCTCTTTGCTTCTTTTTTCGCTAAAACAATGTTGTAGAAGGGTCAGTGATGAGAACCAGTCACAATATTATATATAAACACGTTGGGAATTTTATGACACTTTATATAATATAAGAAAATGTCGTAAGTAATCACGTGTAGCACAATTCTGTGGTTGGGTAAAACGTAAAGTGCTAGAGAGTGTTTTTGTAATTTAGCGACAAGCTCGTAAAGTAAAACTTGTGTGACAATAGGATAGTTGTGATTGGAAAATAAGTTAAACCAAAAATATACATAAATAATTACATAATAAAAATGCTGAGTAAATCTAGCAAAAATATTCGATTTCCTATTTTGTAGGAAACTCAACTCTATTAACGCTATACAGCCTACGCGAACATTAAAAGCGTACAAATAGTATTAAGTGGTTTTCTATATACTTCGAAATAAATTTTAAGTATTTGTATAAAATTTTGTTAATCTTTACAAATTGTAGACTTCGTTAAATGTCATGGAGAAAAAGATAAACATGGTAGGAAGCTATTCTTCTCACCCAAACAATGCTTTAGTATTTTTACAGCCTTTTGCTAAACTCTCCAAATTGTAGACTTCCATAAATGTCATTGAAAAAACGATAAACACAGCTCTAAGCTCTTTATATCACTAAATAATGCGTTCTAAAAATGTTTTAAAAGTCTCCAAACTCTACACACTAACAAAAACATTTCAAAATTAGTTAGTGTTACTTGTTGTGGCCGAAAAACTGTAAAATCAGAATTTTTGAAAAATTTTAAACTTTCCACGACAAGCAAATATTGAAATTACATATATTTTTCGCGCAAACTCTATAATAAATTCAGCTTAATATTTTCTGTAAATTTATGACCACCTCTCTTCATCGTCCACCAAAAAAACAAATAACGAACCTGTAAAAAATGTCATGTGAGTAAATTCAATTCACCCAACTTGCTAATTACTTGTACCGACACTAGTGCCACGCATTTTCAATCAGCATCGCAATTAAATTGAATGAGAAGAAGAAAAAACAAACAGGCGTCGTCACAAAATGCAAAACACTGTGTTGTTATTATTATTATTCTGCGATGCGCATTGGTGTCGTTACTTTATATTATTATTACTCGGCCACCGCATTTTAAGCCCTTTTTATTAAGTATAGTATACCGATACTGTATACATTTGTATGTGTGTATTTATGTATGTATCTGTTTGGACTTGATAAACGTGAGCGCAAATAATTTATTTTTAACATTTGCGCAGAAAAATATTGCAAAACATTGTCCACTACGCACATATAAACATACAGACATTTAAAAATATATGCAGTCTGGTAAGCTCAAAGCCTGTACGTTTGTATGAATGTGCTGGTATGTTAATTTCTGAGTCGTTTGCGAAATAAGTTATTAAAGTGTAACATATTTTTGGCAACTTAACGATTTGTATGACCTCTGCTTGTAACGGTTACCCACTCAATGCGCTCCATGTAAATCAGTTACGTCAATGAGCGTGAAAATTAAATATAAATTACCGTTATAGGTGGTGTGTGGCTTAAAGAGAAGAGGCAGAACAATCAAAGCGATGATAATTTTAAATAAAGTCAGCACAGTGATGCGCTTTCGTGTATACATATAATTAGGCTACAGCGTCATGTAAGCGGAAAGGAAAAGAGTGTGACGGATTCTCCGAAGGGAGACGATGTGTATTGTAATGTAATTGCTTTTGGCGGGGATTTTGTGAAAGTTATATTTTTAAATAAAATGCAGTTAGGAAAACTACTAAAATAGAAAGGAGGTTTTTTGAACTCACACAGGAAAGTCTAGAGTTTTTATTACGAAAAAGAAAAAAAATAGCAAAGTGATGAAGTTAAATAATTTGCGTTGTATTTCGCATAAATTTCAAAAAGTCTCCAAAAAGGCATTCGGCGCATATAACTAATAAATACTATATAATACTAAGTTAGCGGTCAGTACATAGTAAAATTAAAGTATACAAATTTTGGAAAAGTCTCCAAACTCTCCATTTGGCTCTACAGCGTATATACATAATTAATACTTTAAAAAATAAATTATCGCCGCTAAAAAGACATTTAATTAAAGTATACACATTTTGGAAAAGTCTCCAAAATAACCACATCACCAAAATTAATGCAAATCGCAAATCGCTAAATTTAAAAAATTCACGAAGTGTTAAAAACTTCTGACAAATCATTTGTAATTAAACACTGCACAAACACCAAACAATAGAAAGCATTAACTAGAATATCAACAGAGTATGTATTAAAACAAAAATATTATGAAGGACTGAATAATATACAAACAGCTAAAAAAAATACCCACGGAAAGTGCAACATTTTGCAGTATATCCCTGCCAGCTCCTTCGACAAACGCAGCGATGGCGGACGGCTGTGAAACCGCGGTGGAGACGTCGACAGCGAGGTCGGCGTCGAAGCAGCCGACATCGACGAGCATGGACTGCAGGCGCCAGCCAATGACTCGGTCGACAGCGAAGTTGTATACGACGAGGCGGGAGAAGGATTCAGCGATGAAAGCGGCGTACGATAGATGTCGCCCTCATAGTAATGCACCGCTGATGGCAACAAATCGCCAGCATCCACTTCACGCGTTTGCAAATCAATCTGCAAATCTGTGGTGGTTATGCGTAAGGCGGGTATATCTTTGGCGTTGAGGCGCATGCACGAGGCTTCAGGCACCTTTAAGTAGTTTCCACTGTGAATATGACTTTTATTTTCATTGCTGTTGTTATGATGATGAAAGTTGCTGCCACTGTTGCCGCTTTTGCTGCTATTGCAGCTGCTGCTGTTGCTCTTGCTATTATTTATCGTGGCCAATTCATCGTTGCTAAGAAAATCGCGATGATGGTGGTGTTGCTGTTGTTGGCTTTTATTGGGTTTCTTCTTTTTGGACGCAACATATTGCTTCTCATAATGATGGTAGTGGCCACCATTAATGTAAGAGGCTGCCATTGCCTTTTCATATTCGATGTTACGCGTGTTGTTGTAATCATTGATGTGTAGATTTGGTTTCGGTTGTTGTTGCTTGGCGGTGGTGGAGGTGCCGCCAAAGGAGTTGGAGAGTTTTTCGATGTATTTGTTGAAGATCATTTTGGTATTTTTGTTTTTAGGTAAGGGAGACTTTTTAGTAGACTTCTAATACTTAATACTGTTTGCGTATGTTTTGTGTTTTGTGACACAAAATTTACAAATTTCTAGTATTTATTTTTGGTATTTTAGAAATCTTAGTTTTCAAAACAATTTTTTGTTTTTTTTTTAAATTCGTGTGTAATATGTTTAAGCTGATTTTGCCTTTTGTTGTAAATTAAAATTGATATCCTCAAACTGGATATTTCCTTTAAGTGTATTTTAATTTTCACTTTCTTAATTTATATTATTATTTATTTTTATACTCTTGCTTTGAAAATTAGAGCAGAATTATGTTTTTGCATTAAGTCAACCGTTAAATCTCTGTTAATTACGGTTACAGTTGTTAGCACATCTGCTTGCTAGTTAAATATTGTTTTGAGTTTTGGTTTTATTTGTTCTACAATATTCAGCAAAAATCGCTTATGCAATTATTTATCACAGTTTAGTTATTTTTCTCCACTAATTTCCGCACTTGTTATCACACACTATACACTTCCTGTTTTTCACACCTTTTTACTACATTTTCAGTTTTAACAAAATAATTTTATTGAAGTTTTATTAGCTCAAACACTGTATTGAACTTGTGGAACACTTTGCTCACAAAATAAAATTGTACTTTTTACACTTTTTTTTCGCTAAAAAATAACGTTTTGTTCGTTTTCTCTAGCACAACTTCCTTAACTTTCACTTTTCAGTGTCGTTCTTTATTCTCGGCTAGTCTCGACTGGCTTATGCACTAGCGTGTAGTCCTTCACTTGATGAACTTTTTCAAAGCAAGCAGCAATTTCTTTTCAATCGGTTTATGCGCTTTCACGCAAAGTTGCGTATTCTTTGCCGCCACAACGGACACTGGCGTACTGTTACGTGCGGTGTTGTGGTCAAGACTCGTGCTCGTTTGTGCATCAAATAAATGCTCGTTGAGATATAATGAATGCATTTTTCATGTATGTCGCTGCCGCAGCTTACACGAACTTACAATTTACAATGTTATCTGCGATGTTTGTAGTTGGAGTCATTCGGCGTTCGCTGTTTTTGTTGTTGTTTATTACTTAGTTATTTATTTTTTATTATTAGCTGTGTGATTACTTTAAGCACAGTTGTGCATAAAATTAAGGAACTTTTAAGTGTTGTGCGTGCGCAAATTATTTGACAGAATTACCGACATACATATATGTAGATATATATTTTTATAAAAAAAAAAACAAAAAACAACTGTATGTATGTCTGTATATTTTTAAACCTGTTCGATTTCGAGTGGACGCCGTTTTTGGTTTTCCAACGATATTAAATGTACGTTGAAAAATGTTGAAAAATTCCAATTTCCAATTCCGATCACATAAACACACGCTCAACGCTCGCACGATCAGTCAATCAATAGCGATCTTCGATCGATCTCTTTTTACGGCTCGTACCTTTTTTGGCAAGACATATATATTCAATGAATATATATATATATATGAGATTTCAAAACTTTTAGAAGCTTACGAACCGCATAAACTGTGCATTTCAACGTTTTTGAAAATTTATACACTTCCAAAAAATAAAACGATCAAGAAACGATATTATATAGACACGAACACAAACACTTGTGCTTTGACTCGTACGACGCGATCTCGTTGTCTGTTTTGTTTATACGGAATTTTTATGGCTTATTTTTACAGAGTGTACGTTCTGTACAAACGCGCTGTCTTAACGCAAGTGAAACGTACGCCGTTGTATTCTATACTTTTTAAGCAAATGCCGCGGCGCGCCTTGCAAGGCGATCGACGCGCTGCGATACGCGAACGGCTTTGTTGTTGATGGCGTTCTTGAGACTTGCAGAATTGGTGAAGCGCGCGAATCGAGGTGTTACTGATGAGCGTTAACGTGCGGAGGTGATGAGCGGCTATCGGCTGTCGGCTCGACATATGTAAGTATGGCTTTGTTTTATTTGAGACGATTTTTGCTGTGCGCTTGGTGAACGCGCTTTCGTTTGCCGGCTGGCGTATGTGTTAGCGCTCTACTAACACATGAGTTGGTATGCGCTCAACGAATGAGTGCGGTGAGTCAACAAATTATGAAGCATATCATGGACATGATTTGGAACTTTTGAGTAAACAACTGCAGGTGAGCGCCCGCATTGCGCTCTCAACAACGCGCCAACGGGCGCTGAGCGCCCACCCACAAGGATTAGCTGCAAATGCAGAAGAGCGCGATGTGCTACGCTCTCCCCACCTAATGTGCTGAGCGCGTTCACCAGGTGGGCGTGCATGATCGCGGTGACAGATCGCATGATCCGTAGATTTCAGATTTAATTGAACTCACCGTAAGCACTTAATTTCTTTGCGCGTTACTCATAAGTGGTGTTGTTTTTGTTTTAATTTAGTAGTTGTGTGGCCTGCTTGTTTACAAACTCCGAACGCGCCAATTTGGTATTAACAGTCACCGCACACTCCTTCACCGCTGCCGCAGCAAATGACGCGTTTCAAGTGAGCAGGTATGTTGCAAGCATGCGTTAATCAATTTGAATGACAAATAAGATTATATATATCTAAATGAGTACAGTCATTAAAGGCGGTCACCCAAATTGATTCGCTGGAAATTTATTTAAATTTACTGCACTCTAATATAATATGTAAGCAATTAGGACGGTCACATGAAACCGCAAAAACTTCTGACAAATAATTCTATATGCATATGCCAACATTTAAACATACTTTCGTATATACAATCGAAAATGCAAAAGCTGTCCTTTATATGAAAAAGCAAGTCACATAATGATAAACTGAGTGACGCTTTGAAAAAAAGCAAGTTGCAGGGAACAATTTTTGCAACAAAAGCGAACTGCAGCGATAAGCCTAGACAGTTTCCAGGAATGCGCCAACAAGTTGCAACGAGCCACGACAGCATTTTTGCATCTGCTTTTAAATTGAAAGTAGAAATAGCAACTGGCACGCGCAAATATACCAGAAACGAAATTCTGAGAATACTGCAAGCTGCATATGCATAAGAATTTCAGCTTTATGCGGCACGAAGTATTTTATACACACTATCAAAAATTTCGCTATAAATTAATTTGTTAGGGACTCTACACTTTGTAAAACAATTCCTAAGCAAACAACTTTCACATTTATAATCATCACCTAAAAAAGAAGTTGAGTTTGACGCATTTCGAAAAATTCTCCACATAAACAAATTTTTGATAAGCGAATTTTATGCACTCCTCACCTAAAACAGAAGTTGAATTTGACACATTTCGAAAACTCTCCAAACTCTCCACATAAATAAATGATTGGTAAGCGAATTTTGTGCACTCCTCACCTGAAAAAGAAGTTGAATTTTACACATATCGAAAACTCTCCAAACTCTCCACATAAAAAGTTTTTTTTTTGCACTTCACAGCATTGCAACATATTTTCAAATCTCAATCAAATCTTATACATTATAAAGAAGCTATGAAAGAATGTGAGAGAAAAACTAAGCTTTTCATCAAAGTCTCCAAACTCTCCAACAGTAAAAAGAAGTTGCAAACTAATTTCCAATTACTTAGAAAAATTTTAGGCAAAAATTAAACAAAAATTAGACGAATTTTAACTGAAAATTATTAGTTTCCGAAAACACAGTCAAAAAGACTTCAATTTCGGTGATGGTTACAGGTATATGTATAAAGCATTGGTATTTTTAAAGATGATTCAATATTTATACATTTTTTAAAGATTACAACAATAGCATGTGACACAATTCTTACATTAGTGCAAACAAATATACGTATATACATAAATATGTAATGTTCATACATACATACATAGTATGTAAAATAAGGTATGTGACACAATTGACTCATTTATGTGGGTCTTTAGAAGTTAAACAAACAAATCGCTTTATTTACTAAGCAAATATCAAGTGGAAGATGGACTACTGCGCTTAAGTGGCTTAT